GTGCTGCGATTTGGGAGGTCGCCAGGGGGTTGACTTCGAGAGTTTGACTTCAGAAGGTCGATCAAGCGGTTGTCACTTGGCCGCCATTGCGGGGCCCTCAGGCGAATGAAGGTTTCAAGGCCCTCTCTCGCAAGACTGAGAGCACCATTCTTGGATCTGAAAGTCTCTACCTTTCTATTTCAATCCTTTCTAACTCTCAGTCTAAGTCTTGGTTCTGAGAGGAAGGCGGCAGACGGGATTACAACCCGTATGTCCGCATCAAGACTCTGTGGGGAGTCCACCCACCGATTGCGGCAGCTCTGCCGAAACCTAGGCAAGGTTCTGGAGGCAGGGAACCTTCAGGTAAATCATCTTTATTTGTATAAACCCACTACTACCTATGTTTGCCTATCTCCCTGCAGTATGACTGTTATATGCATACAATTGTCCCTATGGTTTTTGTTTTCTCTTCAGGACCTAATTAGATTGAATGGAAAGAATGTATGAGAGTGAAGCATAAGTTTCAGTTTATTTTTGACTGAAAGCAGACTAAGGTATGAAATGGGGGGAAGGTAGGAGGAAGACAGTTTTGCATGCGTTTGACAAGGTCAACCAAAGTCTGACCATTGTTTGTACTGTGAATGGCTCAGGGCTATGTTTATTTGGCTGTTTTCTGAAGAACCGGACATTGTTTCTACTGTGAACGGTCTGATTGCTATGTTTATTTGGTTGTTTTCTGAAGGACCAGAAATTGTTTCTACTGTGAATGACCTGGTTGCTATGTTTATTTGGCTGTTTTCTGAAGGACCAGGCATTATTTCTACTGTGAATGGTCTGGTTGCTATGTTTTATTTAGTTGTTTTCTGCAGGACCAGGCATTGTTTCTACTGTGAATGGTCTGTTTACTCTGGTTAACTCTTAGGGTTTGCCTGATTAACGGGGTTTTAATTTTTGTTTATTCTGAGGGAGGATTTTTTGTCTAAGGCTAAGCATTGTTTCCGTGGTGAATGGTTTAGCCTGAAAACCACGCACATAAATTAAATTGAGTATAAAGGAAAGTATTTTATTTATATTTGCATGCGAACTAGCAGCGGGACATTGTTTCTACTGTGAACTGTCCAGCGTTAAGCCATATCATTAAGAAGAGAAAAGGAAACAATACTTAGTATAAATGAAAATAGTTTGGGGCAAGCTGAACATTGTTTCTCCTGTGAATGGTCCGGTCCCCTGCCCATATTTACCTTTTCTTTTGAAAACAAAGTCAGAGAAATAATAAATCTTTGGATATTAAACAGTTCAGGGCGACTAGGCATTGTTTCCATGGCGAGTGACCTAGTCATCTGCCCAAAAGAAGAGATAAGTAGTCGTGTAACATGTTCGTGTATATCATAAAGACGAGCTGAGCATTGTTTCCATGGTGAATGGTCCAACTCTATGTCTGGCTTCGTAGATGGCCGTGTTATTCGCAAAGACCGGGTCAGTCCTGGTGAGCTGCATCGAGGAGTATTACCTACGCTATCCTTTTGTCAAGGAATTCGCAATGGACAGGGGATCGGAGTTTACTTCACAGGAGGTGCAAGAACTTTTATCAAGGTATGGTGTGGCAGCCAACTACACCACGGCC